TGTTCTGTAATTATTCCCTACCTTTTAACAAGACTGGTTTAAGTACATGCGGTACATGCATGTGTACATATCTGAGTGTGTACACATGCACACGTGCATCTGCAGGTAGGTATGTGCATGCACGTGTATCAGGGAATTGCAAATACCTTTTTTTTTTTTTTTTTTTAGACAGAGCCTCAAACTGTCCCCCTGGGCAGAGTGCCATGGCATTACAGCTCACAGCAACCTCCAACTCCTGGGCTCAAGGGAGTCTCCTGCCTCCACCTCCCAAGTAGCTGGGATCATAGGTGCCCGCCACAACGCCCGGCTATTTTTTGGTTGTAGCCGTCATTGTTGTTTGGCGGGTCCGGGCTGGGGATTCAAACCCGCCACCTTAGGTGTACATGGCTGGCACCTTAGCCGGTTGAGCTATAGGCACCGAGCCGCAAATACCTTTTTTTAAAAAGACCTCTAACACTGTCTCCGCTTACCCACAAGGCAGCTGTGCATCTCCAAGTCAACATCTGCCTTGGGCCCACGGTGTGACACCAGCGAGAGTATTCCTCAGTCCTCCTGCATTTGGAATTTTCTAAAAGCCTAACAGTAAAGGGGACGCTTCCTTACTTTGCATTAGGTAGATGAAATCTTCAGCACAACAGAGAATGCAGGGACACTTTTATTTTGACTTGTGTGACCACGATCCCCCAAACTCAAATAACAATGACTTACCTTGGGTTTCAGAAAGGACAGGCATCTCTAGAATACTCAGTTTCCTTGAGAGTTGCTGAAATAAATAAACCACTGACAGTTTCCCCACTTGCAGACCATACTTAGGGAAAAGTGAGGCAGGATGAGAGTCTAGTTGATATTGGAGGTTATTTCAATTGCAGTACTCTGCTTTAACTGTGAGCCGTCCACTCCTGGCCTTGTTCCCCGACACACGCACACATGCACGCACACATGCATGGACGCACACACATGTGCATGCACGCACAGAATCGCCTGTATCTTCCTGTTCTAAAAACCTCAAGTCCTTCATTTACATATATTTTACCCTAGCCAAAAAAAAAAAAAAAAAAAAATTTGAAATTAAGTCTAGCTATCAAGCATCATGCATTTAACTATTTCACTTAACAACTACCAGAAATCTCACACCTATAATCCTAGCACTCTGGGAGGCAAAGGAGGGTGGATTGCCTGAGTTCACAGGTTCCAGACCAGCCTAAGCTGGGGTAAAACCCCATCTCTAAAAATAGCCGGGCATTGTAGCAGGTGCCTGTAGTCCCAGCAACTCAGGAGGCTGAGACAAGACAATCACTTGAGCCCAAGAGTTTAAGGTTGCTGTGAGCTATGCCGTCATGGCACTCTATCCTGGGCAGCAAAGTGAGACTCTGTCTCAAAAAGAAAAACCGCACCACCAGAAATCTCCTGGCCAAGTTGGACTTCTCTCATTTTTCTCTATAGATTTTTCCCTTTGCTGCCTTTCTGACTTTGCTCATGCTATGTTCTTTACATAGACCAATCTTTCCCTTTTTCTTCCTGTCAATCAACCCTTCCTGTGGAAATCTTGAGTAGTCTTCAAGAATAAGCTCAATGCCACTTCCTCCAAGAAGACCTCCATGATTGCACCAATCAAGCAAGGAATTCTTTCTCCACCCAAGCTGCTTAGTGCATGTGTCTCTGATGGCCCTTATTATCTTTGACATCATATTCTAGGGTTTTGTGTAGTTGTCTCATTCACCACCATTCCTGCATCTTCCCATATCAACTATATTATAAGCTTCTCAAAGGTAAAACTGCTTTCAGCCACCATGTATTCTCCACAGCACCTTGCATAAGCAGGAGCTCCGTAAGCTTGGCCAAGTGAATTTATAATCATTTGTGTTTTCCCTGCATTGAATAGTTCATGTATTGGTAAGCAGAACTATAGGAATCTTAAAACCCAACCTTTCCCTAACGCTTCTCTATCCCCCAAATCAAAATTTTTAATGGCCTGATTTTCTTTTCTACATCTGATTCAATCATTCTAATAATTTTTTTCCTTCATTTAAATTTTCCTTCATTTAAATCTAGCAGCAGCAAGGATTATGCCTTTCCTACTATAATCCTCCTGCAGTTTTTTCATTTCCTTCCTGTCTCTACTCCACCTTCTTTGGCTTTGGAGAGCAGTAAAATTTACTACTCTTGAGGTCTTTGAGGGTGAGGACAATATCCTAGTCATCTTTATATTTCAGCACTGTCAGTGCCCACGTGCGCAATATTACCTGAAGAACACACGAGTGAACATGTGAATGCTGCATTAGAGCAGGTGGCTCTCCCTGGGATGTAACCTTGCATTGTTCTCCCTGGGAGGTAACCTTACACTTTCGTGGATCTCAGGTAATCCTGACCACAATTTATGAGGTGGGCATTCTTATTTCCCTGTTGCAGTGGGAAAACTGTCATTTGGAGAGACGAGGAAACTTTTAACTTTTAGTCACACATCTAGTAAGTGATGAAACCAAATTGGAACTGGGTCTGTCTGACTCTAGAGCTATAGCTCTTAACCAAAAAGCCTCTCAGAGTGGACTGAAGCCTGTATTGTATTATCTTGCCTTAAGTCAAGCTGAGGGGACCCGGGTATGAAATCCCTTTTACGAAAAAAATTTCAGATGAATGTGAGAGTACCAATAATTAGGTTACAATGTTTGCATGTTAGGTAGAGTCCCTCTTGTAATTGTGTCCCGCCCCCAGGAGGTGTGTCATATACCCTTACATTCTGCTCATTAGGTGGGAGCACACCAATCCCCCTCCCTCCTCCCCTATCCCCCTCCCTCCACTCTCCTCCCTCATTCCCCCTCCCCCCAACTTGAATTGGAGTTTTTCTCTTGTGTGAGCATATATTAGGTCATCTACTGGCTTCATATTAGCACTAAGCACATTGGATACTTGCTTTTCCATTCTTGTGATACATTACTAAGAAGAATGTTCTTCAACTCCATCCAGGTTAATACAAAAGATGTAAAGTCTCCATCTTTTCACGGCTGAATAGTAATCCATGGTATACATATGGTACAACATTCTTTTTTTTTTTTTTTTGAGACAGAGCCTCAAGCTGTCACCCTGGGTAGAGTGCCATGGCTTCACTGCTCACAGCAACCTCCAACTCCTGGGCTCAAGCAAGTCTCCTGCCTCAGCCTCCCAAGTAGCTGGGACGACAGGCGCCTGCCACAACGCCTGGCTATTTTTTGGTTGCAGCCATTATTGTTGTTTGGCGGGTCCGGGCTGGATTCGAACCCGCCACCTTAGGTGTATGTGGCTGGCGCCTTAGCTGCTTGAGCCACAGGTGCCGAGCCTGGTACAACATTCTTAAGGCAGGGAGGCTTGTGATCTGTGGGCCATTTGGTTGGGAAGCCCTGAAAGAAGTGATGAAGAATGACTGTGAGAACAGGAACAGTGTAGAGGGCGTGTGTGCACTGGTGTGTGGTATATGTAAGCTGCATGTGTGCTGTGTGTGGTGATCCATGGGAATAAATGTGCGGTGTGTTTATAGGAGCAGCTTGAGAAATGAGAATAAGCAAAAGTCCGGGTGTCACACTGATCCAGTCATCCTAGCTCAGAACAAACTCAAGTCATTTGTCCACCTAAACCACTGTGCTTTGATGTGGCCTATTGACCTTCTGGAAACATCGGGAGTACCTGTTTTGGGAATTTCCAATACATGTGGGGCTCTGCACTGAGGAGCAGAGGGGTACAGAGGAAAGACGCAGTGCCTCCTGATTTGAAGGACTTTCCATTCAAATTGAGGGAAGCAAACATATAAAACTAACTCTTAATTTATACCAAATGGAAGATGTGCCACAAAGAAAACTAACATTTCTTGAGCTCTTTACCGCATGGCAGATTAAAAGACATTACTCTCACAACCACCTTATATAGTGGATATTATTAACAACCCCATTTTGCAGATGAGAAAACTGATGACTAGAAATGTTCAAGTTTTACTCCAAAAACCACTGATACTAAATGGCACAGCCAAGATCCACCCCAGACCTGTGTACCCTGAATCTAACTCTTATCATCTTCCTGTACTGTTTTCTTGATCCATTCTAAAAGGCAAAGTACATAGAGATGGGAACATTTGCTCTTAACTTGGGAAAAGGAAGAGAAAGAGCCAAGGAAACAGAGCAGAGACAGTAAAACTGTCACATTAGCTGGGCATGGCGGCAAGCCCTCAGAGTTTTAGTAGCTACTCAGAAGGCTGAGGTGGGTGAATCAATTGAACCCAGGAGTTTGAGGCTGCAGTCCAGCCTAAGCAACAAAGTGAGAATTTTTCTCTTAAAATTTTTCTCTTAAAAATTCTGCCTCACATGGCAACATCTGAGGTCCTACAGTTGTCCCCCTCAGCATGTGTCTGAGTACAGACTCAGAGAGATAGGAGCGGTGTGTAATAGGGGGTGCACACAGGGCTAGAGGAGATATGAGAGGGTAACACCAGGAAGTGTCCTTCCTGCAAAAGGATTTCACATTGCCACTGGACAAATGCCACGTGATTAATGTCAAATTGTATTAATGTCAGAGAGGAGAATTTGGCTAAAGGCTTGCCTGGCTAGATCTCAGGCTGGAAATCACTAGTTTCCTTTTATTGTAATTTTTCTCTAATCCTTTATAACTTCCTGTAATGCCTTGATCAAGCTTAAGGCCATGAGCCTCCAGGGAGCAAAGTGAGGCCCATCTGTTCACTCAGGCATGTGCCAGACTAATGGAAAAGGTCAATCTGGCTTTTACTATAACTTAGCATTGTAGTGACCCCAAACAATTCCCAACTGTACCAGCCAAAAATAACTTTGCATGACTGTGAATCATGCATCCAAAGCAGAAGTGTCAGGGATACCCTTTAAAACAGACAATGACTGGACTCCTGTTAGTGAGAAAAAGAAATAAAATAATAGGTATGTCTCTTTAGAATATGCTTGTTCTAAGAACTACATAAAAATAATCATAATCATCTTGTTTGGGGAGGAAAAACATTTAAGAATGCCTTTTTTTCAAAGATTTTATTTTTTTATTATAAGACATAGGTAAAAACTTGCATATTTTGAAAAAGATAGAAAATGGTAATAAAATGGACATTTTTCTTTACAAGAAATGTGTTCATAAATATGCTTTATCAAATGTTTAAATGGTTATTTTGCAAAATAATAATAAATAGAGCAGAGCTGTGGCAAACTAGGGTCAACCCAAAATATTAGAAGTTTTTTATGCTTATGTGTTTTATAAAAATTCAACTTTGATTATATTTTAAAAATGGACATTTGGTACTCCAGGCTATCAATAAATTCAGATTTTAAAAATATTTTTATGATGGCTCTATGGCTGCAAAAATAAAAATAAAAAAAAAAAGGTGGTTTAAGTAGAATCTGATTTAAATAATTTATCCCTTGATAAAAACTATGACACTTAAGATATAATTTTTAACCTACAAGTGGTACATGTATCAGTTCCCAATTTTACAAGTCTCTGTGGGTGTCGAACAAAAACCATGTGCTAAGCTTTAGTTTCCAGCAATTTCTTTTCACAGTTAGATGGAGCAATAAGAGTCACAATTTTGATGAGCTCAGGTCTACAGTTCTAGCTCCACAGCTATAAGGTATGTAAAAAGTCCTCCCTCCTTTGCATAAACACTTTGTTGGCTTTTCTCTATTTATTAATGACCCATTGCCCTCAAAGTCACAGATCAGAACACTGAGCAATACTATAATGATGAAAAAGTTCCTGTTCAAGGAATTTTTTCACGAGCTTCAATTCTATGCTATCCCAAGGAGAGAAGAAACACGTGTGAACACCGAACACATCCTACTGAGTCTTGGGTGTTGGAGAAGCAAGGTCAGGCTTTTCCTGTAAATAAATACTGACTTTTTACAAAGATCTTTCATTTCTCATGCATCATGTTGCCCATGAGGCCAACACTTTAGCTCCCGGCTGCAATGGGGAATGCCACATCTAATAATACTTAAATATCCAATCTAATATAGATTAGCTGTCCCAAGGCCATCAACGATGTCCACGAGGGGGACATCTGAGTGACTCGAGTGCCTAGAGCACAGAGAGGTCATGGCAGGATTTGGACTTGAGCTTAAAGGCCATGTTCTTGTTGTTTTTGGCCACGATCTTGCCCCAGAAGCGCCTGGCTTTCCTGGGGATGCTCTCCCTCCTCTTCTGGTAGGCCAGCCGCCGCTCGTTTTTCTCCTTGCTGTCGCGCCGCAGGCGGACCTGCCGCACGATGCCTTCGAACAGCTCCCTCACGTTGTGCTGGACCACTGCTGAGGTCTCGATGAACTTGCAGTCGAACACCACTGCACACGCTCGCCCTTCTGGAAAGAAAGGAGTGGAGGACGTCAGAGGCTGCAGGGCGAGGCCTCGCGCAGCCAACAGACAGGCGGCCGGAGCCTCCGGGTAACTCTAAGTCCGGCCCATGTGCAGCGGACAGAGAGGGCCACTATGGCACAGGCCCTCCTGGGGTATAAATAAAAGGAGAGTCGCAGCGCTTACTGGGAGACCCCTGGAAGCGGGAGAGATGGACTTTAGATCTGGTCTACCCTAAATTTAGTGTCTGCAGGTCCAATTTCATCAAAAATAGTGAAATTAATTATAACACTAAAAACCACTGTCTGAAGTTACGGGGGACTATGCTGAACTCTATAAACAGGCTTTCCAAGCTCACAACATTCTTGGAAAATATATCATCATCCCTCTCAGTGGATGAAGAAACTGAGGGGGTGTTTTAAAACCTTGAGGGATCTCATGGTGACCTGTAAGTGGCAATTCATCCGGGCCGGCTCACTTTTCAAGCCCTTATTCTTAACTCTTTCCCCTGACTAGGTTTCCTGAATTGAAAATAAGAATTCTACCACCTGGCTTTCCTCCTTTAAAAAAAAAAAAAGGAAGAAAAAAAGAATGCTCTGATGAGATATTTGAGAATTTTACAAATGTATAGTTATAGGGAACTATATATACAAGCTTTTGTGAAACAATCTCAATTTCAATTATTTCACTGTGTTCAATGACCACGTGTCACCATGTCATTACCATTATTACCATAGACAGTCACATCAAGTAGTAACACATTCCAAACTGGTTGTGTACATTGTCTTTATCAGATTTCTTTCCTCCTGAGCAGTAGTTTATTTTTGTAATTGCACCAGGGAGCAAATCTGTATTATGCCAACAAAATCTCAAAGCTGGGAAAGCACGTGGGTGCCCACTCTGAAGAAGCATGTGTGGCAACATCAGACTGAATCCTAAACTGAAATTTGGGAAGCAGGAGATCAGGAGTAGGGGATGTTTCTAGGGTTTACAGGAGCCAGAACCAGCCAGAGCAGAGTTCTTGTTCTCAATGAAACTCTTTGTCACAATTGCCCTAAATCAGAGTTCCTCATCCTTGCATGAAGATGCTACTTCCACTTCCCTGAAGAGCTCCCTGGGGAACTCCGGGAAACCCCTTGGAGGGAAGTCCTACAGGTAGACCAGATGGACAAGGGAGCATCAAGCCACCTACGGGAGACCTGGGTGACTACAGATGTCTGAGGGGCACACCTAAAACTCCACATAGCATCTTACTGAGTCCCTGCTCCAGTCTCCTAAGGAAGATGGATGTGATCTGGAGACTCTCTCGACAGTGTTGGCACCACTCCTCTTACCTGATACAGACACTTCCCGGCACCGCACTAGGTCACTTTTGTTGCCAACCAAAATGATAGGAATGTCCTCTGTCTGCCGGGCCCTACGGAGCTGAATTCGCAACTCAGATGCCTTCTCAAAGCTCGCCCGGTCTGTAATGGAGTAGACAATCAGGTAGGCATCCCCAACTTGCATGCAGTGGTCTTGGAGCCATTCATTCTCCCCCTAAGGAAATAAGAGACCTTCCATGAGCCCAGGCTGACCTGGGAAATGGCATGACAGTTCACAAAGAAACAATAAATGCATCCTAAAGTACCCTGGCTCATAAGAGAAAGGAAGAAAACTATTTCCAATTCCCCCAAATACACTGGTCTTTCATGCCTACAAAATGTCTAGTGGCTGTAAAGATTGCTAGCCTGCTATAGTATTTGTGCCAAAACCTTTTTATTTTCCAATATCTTCTGCAACTTGAGTCAATAAATTATACAACTGCTCTGCCAAATAGTATTTCCAATTTCTATCTGATCTACCCAAGATGAGCCCTTTCTGACTTTCCAAAAACTCCCTTTTGCTTTTTCCAAGTGATAAAATTAAGAACAGTTTTGTGAGAACAGAAGAGTTTTTAATAAACCAAAGGCTTAGCATGTATGCTCAGAAGTCCAAGATCTTTAAAAAACAAATAATGAAAACTAGTATTAATAACATCAGCTTCATAGGAGATGGTTTGATGTAGTTTAAAATAACTGTCTGTACTGATTTATGCTTTCCCTAAAACAAATACACTTTTTTGTGTTTTTTTTAAATGGCACTAAGGGCAAGTCACTGCAACTTGCTTATTATTCAGAACTCATCTGTGAATGACCTGTTCCTTAGAACAGTCTCAATCTTCAGAAGTAAGGGCTTTTAATAAAGAAAATGAGCCCACCTCATCTGGAACACCAGCTATGTAGGACAAGGTCACCCTCGCACCAAAGCAAGCCCTGAAGGAATTCACTGAGAACTACGAGTTCTGCATACCTTATTTTCCCACATATCCAAGAGTATAATTGTTGCGCTTTCCCCATCAACAATCAGGGTTCGCTCATATGTATCTTCTAGAAAAGAAAGAACAGTGATATTGGGGTCAGGTGAATATGCAACATTTTTCATAAAGAGGGTCATGTAGAAAATTATGCTAGAAAATAAACTTACTACATATGCAACTAATTTTGTAAATATACAGATATCTACAAAGGCAGATTACTATTTTTGTCACCTTCAACAATATCCTATGTACATTTCTCCAGTAATATATATATATATATGTATTTTTTTTTTTAATTGAGACAGAGCCTCAAGCTATCCCCCTGGGTAGAGTGCCCTGGCATCACAGCTCACAGCAACCTCCAACTCCTGGGCTCAAGCGAGTCTCCTGCCTCAGCCTCCCAAGTAGCTGGGACCACAGGCGCCCGCCACAACGCCAGGCTATTTTTTGGTTGCAGCCGTCATTGTTGTTTGGCAGGTCCAGGCTGGATTCAAACCCGCCACCTTAGGTGTATGTGGCTGGCGCCTTAGCCACTTGAGCCACAGGTACCGAGCCTCTCCAGTAATATATTAACAAAACCCCGACATCTCCCGAATGTATATCACCAAACCACTCAAAGTCAAAGGCATTTGTTTTCATCACTCCTGGACCTGTTACACAGAAAAAACATTTATGAGGATAAACCCAAGAGCTTTTGACTCAGATTCAGTGGATAAAGAGCTAAGAGAAAACATTAACTGCCCAGTGGAACCCTAAGCCCCATTTTCATAAGCCTTACGTGGAAATCATTGTACCACTCAGCAGGTACCTACAGGACATTCACTGGCTCAACATTAGGAGCTTTGAGCTCAGAGACAGGTAAGTCTTCTCCTCTTTGGGAAGTACAAAAAAAAAAAATCTTGAGACTATCCCTGTTTTGGCTGTGTAGTTTTCTTCCTTAAAAAAAAAAAAAAAAAGCCGTTCCCTAAGAACGAATGGGCTTGTTTTTCCATTTTGAGGACAGCCTCCAGCTCAGCTTGGTAATGGAAACTTCCCTCCCTGCACTGGAGCCCAGACTGAGGGTAGGTGAAGGGTGAAGGCAGCACAATGCCAGGACAGCGCAGTTCCAGTCTAGAAAAATCTGTCATGGGTGGGGTGGAGGTGAGAGGGGATTTTTACAGGAAGGATCCCATCAACCCCATGCAGTTGAGCCTGTCCCCACAGTATTTTCACAATCATTTAATGATTTTGTCAAGTTTCTTTTTGTTCTTTTTGCCTCAGATAGGGCAAGGCTTGTTCTCTACCTCTAGAGCAATCAGAACAAAAGTCCCCTTGGGGGGAGACTCAGTTGAAACCTGCAACACAACACTCTCACCAATATTCCCTCCTTCTTTCCTTGTTTTATGTTTCTTCATTGCACTTATTGCCAGAAAATGCAACACATCTAACTTACTTATCTTTTTGTCCCTTCAGCCCCTAGAACCAGTGATTTTCAACCAGTGTGCCATAAGAGGATCTAAGTGTGGGGCAAACATTTTTTTGGGGGGGGGGCAAACATTTTTAAAGATCATTAGTTATTTTCAGAAGAAGTTCAAAGCACAGTAAATACATTCTTCCTTTTTACTCTTTTTTTAAAATACACATAATTTAAGTGTGCCATGAAAGTTTAACTATAGGTTCAAATGTGCCATGAGATAAAAAAGGATGAAAAACACTGCCCCACAGCTGTAGCACCTGCCTTGTTTACTGTGTCCCCCAGCACAGAGGACAGTGCCTGGTACACCGCTGGTGCTCCATACACACTTGTCCAGTGAACGAAAGAATGAATAATGCAGCACTGTGGCCGTGGGTACGAGCAAACCTGAATTAGAATCTGGGTGCTCTCCCTTAGTAACTACGTGCCTCTGGGCCACTAACCTAAGCTCACTAAGCCTCAGTTTCTCCATCTGTGAAGTGACATTAATAACAGTGTCCACATTTTAGGGCTATGTGGCAATTACACATGTTGAATCTGGGCACAAAGTAGCAACTCAATTAAACATTAGCCTTATCATTACTTCTTCATATGGAGGAAGCTGGTTCTTGCCATACTCAGCACTTCCTATTACCAGTAATCCTAGTTTAAGAGAGCTACGTCGGGGAAATCAGGGCATTTCTTGTTTTATAATAGCAAAGAGTTTATGAAAAGTAATGCTCTTGGTATAATGTTTCTCCTCCTGGTACCTGGAATCAGGAGAGGGAAAGAAAGAAAACCAGGGACAAATAAGAAGAGAGTTAAGCAGGTCATTCTTCTAATTAATGATAACTGTTTCCCACTGGAGGATTAAAACTCTGCCCAGTGGCATGTGTTGTGCCCACAACAAACAGCATGAGTAAGATCACAGTGGGACATTCTGTTGGACTTGGGGTGGGGCATGACCTCAACACACAAATTTCTGCCACTGCATGGATATCAACAGAGTCTGGGCAGCAGAGATGGGCATGGGGGTTGCCTGTCCCTTACCCTCACAGAGCTCTTATCTTTCCTGAACACCCTCTCAAAGAGGCACTTTCACTGCCCGCCACGTACCACTCAACCGCAGTACGGGGGACTCTCTTAAGTGCCTGATAGTTCAACAAAAAACATACAGTATTCCAATAGCTAAGAGGAAAAGCAAACCCAAACTTTCCCTTGGTTTAAGAGCGATCAGAACAAATCTAGAGCAAAAGTGGACTAAGGAGTACACTGTGAACGTGCAAACACGATGCTTTGCCATTCTGCAAACTTCCTGCCAGGATTATTAGGCCTGAGGTCTGCTTGGATATCAGTGTCAGAGACCTGGAGCCTAAAACAACATATCTCCTCTCTGCTTTGTGCATGCGGCCCCCTCCCTCACTACCACCTCCAAATCATGTGCATGGGTTTCTACTGCACCTTGGGCTACTTGCCCCCAAACTCCCCCCACACATGGTGCATCCTTTCTGAAGGCCCAGCCACTCACCAGGCGTCAACCCAGAGTCACTAAAGCTCTAAACTTCTCTTTGGAGTTCAATGGCTCAACTCAAATTTTAGCCTTTTCAAGTGCTAATCAGGTGGGGAGAGGGGAAATAAAAGAACACCAAACTCCAGCAGGGCTCTTTGAAATTTGCTCTGGGTTGGCTCGGTACCTGTGGCTCAAGTGGCTAAGGCGCCAGCCACATACACCTAAGGTGGCGGGTTTGAATCCAGCCCCCGGGCCCCAAAAACAACAATTAATCATATTCATCAAGAAATTTTGGCT